TGGCAAGAGCGGGAATGGCCACAGGCTGGCTCAGTCTCATTGCTGGGCCTTGATGGAGGAAAGCTGCCTGTCAGAGCCCTGGGTCTGGCCCTACCTGTGAAGCCCAGGTGGTAGTATTGACACTAGGTGTCACAGCCACTCATGTCTGCAGGATCTACAAATAATTTTATTGAAATTGAACAAATAACACAACAGTCTTTCAAGGCTGGAGTCACCCTCCTCTAGCCGTTTCCCACACTCTAGAAGCAAAGAGCTTGCACATTAAAAAAAAAAAAAAAAGTCATCTGTATATAGAATTCGTACTCTGCCCCAACATCATCATGGACTAGACTATTTACAAACCTTCACATTTTAAGTATTCCTTTTATGTTTTTCCCCTCCTTTCCATCCCCACCCAGGGGTTCCAGTATTTTCCACTGACTAATCCTGAAGGGGGGAGGGTACTGTAGGGAAGGAGTGTGGGCTACTCATAACTATTAGCCCTAGGGTGTTGTCCCTACCACAGGGTGGTGGACAGTCCCCTTCCAGTGGGGTTGGGGGCTGGTGCAAAGGCAAGGGGGACTCAACAGAATCGGGGGTTCGGGGCAACTCCCCAGAGGCAAAGGCATCCACAGTCCATCCTGACCCCGGCCTGTACCCTCTCAGCTTGAAGGGGAGGGAGCAAAAACCGGTTGCAGTGGGGAGGACTCAGCCTAGCCCTGGGAGGAGGAAGACTCCCACACCAGTCCCCACTCCTGTCAACAGCCAGTAAACGGTCCATCCGAGCGTGGGAACAAACGGCAGGTAGGCGGGAAGAACCAGGCTGATGCTGCCCAACACAGGAAGGATCGAGGTAGCAAACGGTGAAATGCTCTGACTAAGGGGGAAGGGAAGTGAGGGCGAGAAGTTCCTACTTGTGTACAGCCCCAGCAGCCCAGGGGCTGCAAGAAGGCAGACCTTGCTTGTAAAGTGCTATAGCCTCTAGCAGGGCTGGGCCCCAGGCAAGCTTGGAAGAGAGCAGGCCAGGCAAGGAACCGGGAATCAGGGATTCCTGTCCGGCGCAGGCGCATTCCTGTCCGGCGCAGGCCTTGCCGTGCTTCTTGAAGGAGTAGCTGGGGAGGCTGGGATGGTAACTCTGCCATTAGCCCTGACAGTCACCAGCCACCTCTTTTTCACACACAAACCAACGCCGTGGGATTGCCCTGCTCACAGCTGAAGGTTCTGGGCCAACGGAGCTTATTCAGGGCTGTGGCCCCGGCCTGGGCTCCTTAGTGAAAGCCACACTTTGAGCCTGGGGGTTTCCTGCTGGGGTGGGAGGTGCTTGTGTCTGCCACTCCCCAGGCTCACACCTCATAGAGGATCACTGGGAAATCCACGTGGATGCGGGGGGGATCCAGCTTCACGATGCCCTGCCAGAGAAACAGAGGCTAGTGAGGGTTGGTGGGTCAGGCCCTCTTCTCCAGGAAGCCTTCCTGTTCCTCCCAGATCTTCCCCCAGGAGCCCCCACCATGACAGCAGACCCTATCTGGGTCTACCCCCACACACCTGACATAGCTCTAAGACCACCAGCCCCTCACCTGAGGAATCAGATTCTTATGCACCCTTCTCAGCTTGGCCCGCTTCTGCCCATTTTTGGTGACGATTGTCTCCTCATAGAACTCGTGAGCCAGATCCCCATCCTCGTCATAGAACATGGAGCTGTGCAGAGGAAGAGAGGGAGAGCCTGGGCTGAAACCCCATGACTGGTCATGGCAAATGACCCACCAACCCACAGGGAAAGGTGCCCAACTGCAAGTGGGAAGGAACAATATGGCGAGAAGAGAGAAAATGCCTGGAGAATCGTTTGCATGGGGCTTGGGGTCTACTAGGAATAAGTGGGGAGTAGGGTGCTGGCCACTACTACTTTCTCAAACCCCCAAGAAAGATCACACTGTCCAGGCAACCAAAGGTAGTTCTCATCACTGGTTTGGCAGGACCGGCCATTGTCCTATTGGGCCCATGCCTCCACCCAAGACTTCTAGAGTGGATGGGGAGGCAGCCTGGACACACTGGTCTCACTCCAGAAGACTGCTGGCCCAGTGCCAAAGACTGAGATAGCAAATGCCCAAGCTAGAAAGGAACCTAATGGAAGGAAGGCTGCGTAGCCCCACCCTCAAGTGACTGGTGCAGTCAAATCGCCACTGTTGGGTCTCCGTGGTATCTAGAGCCAAATCTCTACCATAGATTGTGCCTATCCCCAGGAGTCCACTAGGGTTAGGGCAATCCCGTGCTATTGTCTGGGCCCCTGGGGGAAGAGGGAGGTAGGTCAGGGCTCCAGATCTGCAGAGAATAACAGGGTCAGGTGTTTTTCCCCCCCTGGCCTCACCCTAACACTGGGGCCCAGCCTTGTTTTCCCAGTCACTGCCCTCAGAGGTCCAACCCCCTACAGTGGGGAAGAGAGATAGCTTCGATAGAAAGTCATTCTCTTAGAAAAACTGAGGGTGGCTAGGAGCCTTCACCTTTCAGGCTGAGCTGGAAGAAATTAAGGAAAGAGGTCCTGAGGTTTTCTGGAGGCTGTCTTAGTGGTGGAGGGCCTGCCCAGGGACAAGCTTCAGGTCCGCTATTCCTTAGGGAGACCTTCAGTGAGACCAGGCCTCCAGGAGCTGCCCTCCTGGTTCTCCCCAGCCCTTGCTCCGATGGGGCCCTAAGTATGGGAGTCGTCCTGGCTCGGGTATTGGGCATGCGGCGGCAGGAGCTCCCGGTGGCGCCGGGCACCCAGCCACCCACTTGTCCTCCCCAGAATGGAACCCACGCCCTTACCCGCGGCGCGTGAATACGAAGGGGGGTACCGCTCGGCCTCGAGGCCGCACCAAAGCTTGCTCAGTGCCCGCTGCCTCCGGGCCACCGCCCCCCGCCGCCGAGGCGAAGGGCCACAGGCCCCGAGCTTTGGAGCCGCTGGCGCCCATGTCAGGGCCGCCGGCGCATGGCGGGCCCCCGCGGCCGCTCCGCTCTCACAACGCAGTCAGCACCACCATGCCCTGTCCCTGTCTCCGCTCGCAGGTGCCGCCGTCGCCGCCTTCCGCAGGATCGGCTGTCTCCACGGAAACCTCACTTCCGCTTCCGCACGCCCCGCAAGCTGCTCCCTTTGATTGGCTGCTGCGCTAGTCGGTCCGTAGGGCGGGGCCAATGGCTGCTCTCAGACGCCGGGCATCCCAGCATGCACAGCGACTCCCCAGATCCCAGCAGGCCTCGCTCTGTGCTGGGACAGCTCCCGGAGAGCTTTGGCAGTGCGTTCTGGACTCTGGCATATGCGGCAGCTCCGATGTCTCCGAACCTCCATTGGGCCAGCTCTGCCAGATTCCCCTCAAACGAGCACGTTAGGGCCTGACTCAGGCCAGGCTGCTTCTACTTCTAGCACGATTTTGCGATTGCCACTTGCATGCGAAGAAAACAGCTTAAATTGGCGGAATGTAGTATAGCTATATTCAGGTCTGAAGAATTTAGTGTTCTTCCCAAACCCACAGAATGCATGGAAGCAAGAATTGTTGCTAGCTGTCCTAGCAGCCAAGTGCTGTCCAGCCCTGACTTGCAGCTCAGTGTCTGGTGAAGGTGTTATACCACATCTCCTCCCAGAGCTCTGTTCCCTAAGCCCTAGCCGCTGCCCCTCCATGACTGGAGTCCCAGGGTGCTAAGTGATAAGGAGAGACTGCATCTGCCTCACAAGCTGGCCCAAGGTGACTTTGCAAGGATTCCTGTGGTGAGCGTGTCCATTACCCCTGACAGCCACTGGCATGGCAGACAATGGCAGTTGTGAGCCCATAATAAAGAATATGAAAGACGAAGATTCTCAAATCTTTATTCAGACACTCCTCAGGCCCCAGGTCCTGATGGTGACTGTCACTCCCACCCCTTTCCCTGCAGGAGACATTCAGCTGAGGCCACAGAACATTACATACATTCGCACACGTCACCAAAAATACCTGAGGCAGAGACCCTGGCTTTGGTTGTTGGCAAACAAGGTACAGACCTGGGCCGGGGTCCACCTTCACAGACCTTGGCCCAGGGCCATCCTCCTTGGAGGAGGCGTTGAGGCACTGTCGCTGCACTGTGAGCCAGCACTCCCTGACCTCAGGGTGTGTGAGGAGTCAGAGGGCACTGCAGAAGAAAGCCTAGACTCTTCCCCCATGGCCCCTTATTCTGATCGCCCTCTTGGCTCCACTAGGGCTATCCTGAGATCCTATCCAAGATCCAAAACATACAACGTTGCCCCACAGACGAGGGCCCTCACCCCTGCACACACTACCCTGTTCTTGTAGTCTCCAAGACCTTCGCATCTGGAACATGAATTAGAGATTTCTGTCTGTCCCACCTTGCTGCAAGCTGGAGCAGCTCCCCTGGAAGTCCTGGTCCTAGGTGACCTAGCACATGGTGGGGCAGAGGGGTACAAGGCCATGCCCTGTTACACCCACTGGATACACAGGGTCAACTCCTTCGCTGTTCTCTGGGCTCGTTCCCTAGGAGGGGAGGGCCTCCATGCACACTCATTCCTCAGGCCCCACAGGCCCTGTCACACTCACACAGCACACTCCTGGCGCTGCCTACATTCCTCCTCCCACCCAGGGGTACAAGGTCACCCCAGTGGGCAGGCATGCAGGGCTTCTTGGATCTTCTGGCGGCAATAGGAGTACTTCTGGAGGATCTGGCGGAGGTGCTCTTCCTCTTCGCGCTGCAGGATGCGCAGGAAGTTGTGCAGTTCAGGCATGCTGAAAGCGTCCCACTGTAAGGGGAGAGGGGAGGCGAACAGGTTGCAGCAGGGATGCTGAGGCCCGCACACCCTCCCAGAGCCTAGTGTATCATGGTCATGTGAGCCAGGACTGGGCTTTCTGGTGTCAGGCTCTTGCCTCAATGGTTTGTGCTAGGATCCCTGGCAGCAATCTGTGTAGGAGATGGGCCCTACAAAACTGTCAGCTCATGAGGAGGCGACCAAACCAGATATACCAGTTAGCTACGGACAGGTTATGCCCATGTGGAGTCTAAACCCACTCTATAAGCCCCATGGAGCCAGAGGCTTGCAAGTAAAAAGTCTCTTTTGTTAGTTTATTTTTCAGAAACAGGGTCTCTGTACGTTGCCTGGGCTGGCCTCAAAGTGGTGGTCCTCCTGCCTCAGCCTGAGTGGCTAGGATTACAGGTACGCCATGCCATGCCCAGTTCAGGTCAAGTCTTAATGCCAGATGATTTTCCACAACGGGAAGGAGCAGAGCACCAAGACAATTCCTCCTGGCTTCTTGGGGAAGAGGCCTTGGCATGATCGCCTGGAAGCCTTCACTTCAGTTATCAGACCCATTCCTTCCTGAAGAAGTTTTTGTGGGGCTTGTCTTCCAGCTTCGTTCCTCTTCCAGGTCTTATTGTAACTACTGCCAGTGACAACCAAGTGACAACGAGGACTATGTACTCACATTCACCTCCCCAGAGTCATTCTCCTTCAGGACGAAGCTCAGGGCCTTCTCACTGGGCCCTGCAAGGAGCCGCAGTCGCAGGGGCTGCTCATCATCCGACAGCTTCCGCAGGTACACTGAGGTCAGGAAGGGAAAGAAGTGTGTGATTGGAAACAGGTCTGACTGTTTAAGCCCATGTGCGAGAGTTCATGCATATATACCCTGCAAGGTTGGGGTGGGGTGCAAAGCTCACCTTGGCCATGACGCTCAGCCCGCTCAAAAAGTGCAAACTTGCGGGGGTCGTCTACCACCAAGAACTTGCGCAGCAGGGCCTCGATGACCTCACGTGCCCGGGTCCGCGACAGTACATGCAGGTGCTTGACAGCATCCTTGGGCAAGTAAAAGGAGGTGCGGCGCTTCACGGCTGGGCCCCGCCCTGGGCCCCGCCGGGCATCTTGCAAGGTGGGGGGCTTCTTGCTGGCTGGCACTGAGACAGGACGCACCAGCTTCAGCTGGACCTTGATGAAGCCTGTGTAGGAGCCATCCTTGTTCTACAGAGAAAGAGACCCCAAAGCACTGCAGTAGGACGCAGGATCTGACAGTTCACCGGGGCTCAGCTGGCTGCGGCACCCAAGAACACCTCAGCTGTGACCTCTGGGCGTCAGGCACACAGCTGGGCTCCTGCCCCTCTGCACACCCCACTCACCAGGCTCATGAAGAGGTTGCTGTTGATCTGGCCATTGTAGTCTTTGATCTTCTGCTCAATTTCAGCCTGAGAAAGGTCAGGTGTCTCCCGTTCCACAGGCTCATCCTGAAAGACAGGCCAGCATGCACGTCACAGGCAGGGGACCATGATGTCTGTCTGCCTCAGTCCCTCCAGGCCCCCTCTGAAAAATGGCCTTGGAGGGGCCAACAGGTGGCATGGTGGTTACAGGCACTGGACTCCCATAGGGCCAACCGTGGTTTGAGTCCTGGACCTAGCAGCTTGCTTTCTCACTTTCCTTCTCTCTCTTTCTCTCTGTCCCTCTCTGCTCAAATTAAAAATAAGTAAACAAATAAATAAAGCTAAATAAAGTAATTTTTTTTTTTTGGAGAGGTTTTTGCTATAGGGCACGTGCGCTCGCCAGAAAGACAGAGAGAAACAGAAAGCGAGAAATCACCCCCCAAAGGGGATGGCCACGTAGCAATCCCTTCTCCTCCATTCTCTCGGGATCTTGGGCACACACGCACATGCGCCTGGTGTGAGTTTAAGCCACCAGGTCTGGGACTCAAACTGCAGTTGACTACATGGGAGTCCAGTGACATAGCCATTATACCAACTGCTGGTTCCAATAAAATAATTCTTTAATTAAAAAAACCTTGGAAACTTGACTGCCCTTGGTCCCCCACCACTGATGTAACAGCTGACCAGGGGACCCTGCTTCTGGCTCTGCACCCTGGGGGAAGGCCAAATCATGTGGCCTGTCCCAGCTGTTGCCTAGGGCCACCCCAGCACTGGACAGGGCACTAAGGGTACCACAGAACCAGGGGCAACAGAAGTCCCAAAGCCAGGGCCTAGGGGAAAAAATGTAGGATTCTGAGGAGGGGCTCGTATTTAAAGTAAAACCATGAGGCAACTGTACAACCTGGTCTCAGCAGCCTGGGTGGGTTGCAGTCAGGGTCTGTCCTGGAGAAGGCAGCCTGATTTCCTGCTCTGCTCATGACACCACAGGGGAGGACAAGTGCACACAGAGGCCCAGCCAGCAGGGGTAGGAGGGAGGTGTCACCTCCACAAACTCCAACACCCTCCATGTCTCAGACATGGCGCATCACTGGGACATGCTGTTACCCTGGCACGCTATACTGACGGCAGCTCCAGGCTGGCTCCCGGCTGCCCAAGGGGCACAGACAGCTTCCTGGCAGAGCCTGTCCCACAAGTGCCAAGGAGTGGGCTTCTGTGTGGTCCTCACGCTTTGCTGGAAGACTTTTGCTCCTGCACTCTGTCCCTCCTCCTCTAGGACTGGATCCCTGCCAGCAGGGCGAGAGTGAGCCAGGGCAGCCAGGGCTCTGAACTTTCTTCTACCAGACTCCCTTGACCCCCTCCCCCCCGTCAGCCTTACTTCCTGCTG